TCCAGCTTGCAGGACTGGCCTAGGGTAATTTTTAGAGGGGTTTTAATTATATTTTAATTGGACAATGTTCAAATATTTCTTTTAATTAATTTTAAATTTGTAATTGTTATTTATGTATTTTAATTGATTGTCAGCCGCCCTGAGTCCGCGAGGAGAAGGGCGGGATATAAATCCAAATATAATAATAATAATAATAATTGTGAATGTGATAGAGCAGGGATCCCCAAACCCCAGTCCGTGGACCAGTACCGGGCCACAGCATGCCAGCAACCAGTCTGCACAAACAAGCAAAGCCCCATCCGCGGGATGCAGGCAACACACAAAACCATGCCCTCTCTGGTCCGCGGAAAAACCTCTCTCCACGTAATTGGTCCCTGGTACCCAAAAGGTTGGGGATCTCTGTGGTAGAGTTCTAAAATTTACATTGTAACAGAGGGAAAAAGCTAGTGATTATTATAGCAGAGCACAATGCAAGAACAGAATCTTTTTGGATTTCTTTCACCTTACCTCAGAGGAACCATATGGAGACTATACACAGTTCTATCTTGGTTATCTCTTGAAATGAGCCTTCTCTAGAAACTACCTCCATCAGTCTCTTAAGAAATATCATATTTAGCTTGGCCACTGAGTACAATTTAATACCTTTGGAATGGCTTCTCCAGACTTCTGTTCCACATTCTCAAGGACTTCAGAATTTCAAGTTCCCATGCAGGTAGTCCTCAACTGAGACCAAAATTTCCATTACTAGGCAAGGTGGTTGTTAAGTGAGTTGCGCCCAATTTTACTATCTCTTTTACAATCGTTAAGTGAATCACACCATCTTTAAGTGAATTCAGCTTCCTCCATTGATTGTCAGAAGCTGGCTGGGAAGGTTGCAGATGATGATTACATGACACCGGGGTGCTGCAACAATCATAACATGCTAGTTGCCAAGCGGCCAAACTTTGATCATATAGCTGTGAGGATGCTGTGATGGTCATAAGTGTCAGGAATATTAGTTGTAAATCCATTTTTTTCAGTGCTGTTGTAACTTCACTGAACAAATGGTTGTAAGTCGAGGACTACTTATGACCTTTGTGTAACATAATTCAAGAAATTACTGAGCAGTTTATATCATAAAAGGCCATAGTTATTCAGCTTAAAAATAATATATTAAGAATAAGAATTGAGTTAAAAAACTGCTCTTTTTTGCTCTTTTTACTTCTACATATCTTTGTTTCAGAGAACCCTTCCAAATATTTATAATAATGTAGGTTATTAAAGATAAATATAACTGTTGGCTTGCAGAAACTGCTGATGTTTGATAATTTTTAGTTTTAACAACCTAAGTTGTTTGTTGCTAGAATGTCTGTTTCATTATGGTGCTTCTCTTCAAGGTTCCTACTCCAGTTTCAAGTGAATCACAGACACCACTGACACCCTCAAGAACTAGCGTGTCGCCAGAACATCAAGGGAAAGTTTTTCAATCTCTTCCATCAAGTAGCAGTGGTGTTAATGTAAAAGCACCTCCTTTTCAGGCTATGCAGACTGTAAGTACAATATAATTAGATGTTAGACAACACAACAAAATATTGGTCAAAATTTTTGGTTTTGGCAGCTTCTATACAAAGAACAGATGGCTTTCATATAAGATATAGGACAACAAAACCACATTTTGTTGAATAGACATTTCAGATAATCTTCGCTTAACAGCCATTCAAAGTTATGATGGCTCCCCTCAAAAGATACTTTTGACTTGGTTCCAGAGTTCTGACGACTGTACACACACACACACACACACACACACTGCAGTCATGTGATTGCCTTTTGCATGCTTAGCAACTGGCTTGCATTTATAGCCATTTGCAGCATCTTACAGTCACGTGACTGATTTTTGGCAATTTCTTTTGCAGTTTCAGTTATTACTTCCAATTTCTGGCAAAAACCGCTGATTGGGTATAATAGATTTGTTTAATGACCATATTCATTTAAATAACTGCCAGAAAAAAGGTAAAATTAGTCACGGTTGTATGGTAACCTGCTTAATGACTGCTGCAATATACAACCATAATTTTGGGCTAAATTATGATTATAAGTCGGGAACTACCCATAATCTATTTCTCACAATGTTTCATTTCAGAAATTAGAACTTTAGTAAATTAGAAGTCCCAGCATATAACACTAGATGAAATTAATCAAAAGTGTGCAAGTTAGACAGGAGATTTCCTGGAAGTTATAGAATCTCTTCTTCATTTCTGCAATGTAAATTATTAACATTTCAGTTTCCCCAATGAATGATATCTCATTTTGATCTGGGGCACTAAAAGCTGCTGCTTGGGGTTTATATGAGGCTGATATAGTTCATAACATTATGTCTTTTGTAGGTGTTCAAAGTGAATGCACCATTGCCACCTCGTAGGGAGCAGGATGCGAAAGAGAATTCTCTGCATTCTACAGGATACAATCAGAATTTTTCAACAGCAAGCACACAGACGCCGCCTCCGTGTAAATTACTATCTACTCAAAATGCAGAACAAATAACTTTTTCACAAGAGTCCCTTTCAAACGGTAAGAAGAATTTCAGTGTAAACCAGTAACTGAACTGGTGATGCAAGAGATGGCCATGATTCTAAACTCATTTTGAACATTCTATAATATTTAACAGACATTACTTTAAAAATGACAGAAAAACTTAAGTGTTCACATTTGGTTTTTTAGTTCTACTAGAAAACCTTTTACTCGTGGAGTCATCCTTTGAGAAGATAGTGCAGTCTGACGTGACCAGAATGAACATTAAGTTTTAAGCTGGCCATATGTTTTTTACCCCAATGCTGGAAAGTCCCATGATCATCTAAGAAGAGTATATATCATAAAGAGAAAAGTAATTGTAAGGGCAAATGCATTTTAATAATAAGTCAAGAGTAAACATAACAGCCACTGGAAATTGGAAGCATTTCTATTACAGAACTTTAATTATTTTAATTTGATTTGACTTCTTGAAGGAGGTTTATTTTTCACTGAATCATCCAACCTGGCCAGACCGTCATGATTTTTTCAGTCCTTATGTCCTCCCAACTCCACCTACCTCTAAAAAGCTAGAAAATGTTCAGCTTCCTCCTCATTCCTTCCTGTAATCTCACTTATACTTTACGTGGGAGTATAATTGGAGACATGTCAAAGCTTTCCCTTTTCCCTCTAACAATTTCCAATGCATTCCAATGAAAAGATTTGATTTCATCTGCTATGATTGTGTGGGCAAGGAGAGAGATTAGTACCTTTGTTGCAAAGCTATACAATTGTCCATTTTCTGCATTCCATTAGTTGGGAACCTATAGTAGAATTTTCTCTTTTTGGAGGTAAATGGACAGCTTTTGCCTGTTTACAAATTATTTTTAGGGACTGGATACTTCAATCAGACGATCTCTGTGGGAGATAGGCAGAGGAAACTCCCACTTCTGAGATGAATGTTTTTGAGTACCTTGTAGTCTTCTCTATGGTGGGAAAATAGAATGTTGAATTAATTCCTTCTGTAACAAAGAGAGAGTGGATCACACCCTTTTTGATGCAAATGAATGGCAGGAAAACTTAAATTGCCAGGTTTTGTTTTTTCAATGTCTTATGTCCCATAGACAGTTCATATATTTTAATCTACTGGGTTTTTTTTGTAGCAGGAAGTGTTAAGTACATTTAAACTCATCATTGTCTGTCTTAACATTGACAAGCCTCCAGTTTGGCTAGTTTATGTTAATTCCAACTACTTAAATGAAGTTTTAAATTCAACAAATTTGTTTATTTTTAAACAGTTATTAACAATAACAAGGTAATATATTCCTGTGTGTTACAAGCAGGAGTGCAATTAATAAAGGTTGAGGAAAAAGATCAGGAATCACATCCTTTTCCTTTGTAGTAGCTTACAGAAATACGTAAGATGTGCACTTCTCATCTTAACCAGGTACTTGCCAGACTGAGGGAGCTGTTCCTGTCAGCAATGGTACCCTCACTTTTTATGCAGCACAGACAGCCACTTTCTCTAGACCATCTCAGCCTTTTATTGCAAACCGTGGATCTATCAGAGGTTCTCTCAGGGGTGTAAGATCAGTGGCCAATTCTTATCGTTCCCCTGGTGGATATAAAGGTAAGATCCAGTTTTATGAAAATATTGATGTATGGTTTGATGCAGACCTATTTCTATTGCCGTTCCGAAGTGAATCCTGAAAGAGTGATAATTAATTGTAGTTCAGCTTCTGTGGAATTACACTGTAGTGTCTGGAATACAACTCTTATTGGACCAAGAACCATCCCATTCTGAATAGCATGTCAAGGGCACACTGCGGAAGGGGCAGGATGATACATAGACTTAAATTACATTACATATAAATACTGCTTCACCACAATTATTTGGCAGTTAAGAGCGACTGTCTTCTCATGCATCTGCACTGATGCTTAGATTTAAAATAGTTCAGTACATGTGCGAGTAACAAATCATTCTCCCATGCGCTAATGTTCTCCCCGTATATTGAGACTTTTATCTTCCACTGCAAGCATACATATGAGAATCCCTAGGTAGAGGAGGTAGTGATGGTTTGGAATTCCTCGCTGACAAGCAATAGATATGGGGAAATATTGGAGGCTGCACTATAATAGGCTGCAGATTATGCATCTCTGTAGATCTGAATTCACTGGGTGTAATCCAAGTGACAGAGATTCTTAGTCATGGACCTAGTCTTACCTCCCAGAAGTATGAGTGTCTCCAAACCCTACTTAAAAGTCTGTACTATTCCAATAAGCTTTTGGCCTGTACATATGGTCCTTGCTTAGCAACCACCTTTTTAGCAATTTTTCAACTTACAATGGTTGAACTTACAAGAGTCTCTCCCCTGGTGTCAGGTACAAGCTCAAGGATGACACAGCAAAATCCAATCCTTTATTTATTTGGTTGCACTTAATGGACAAAACTAAAACAATAACCTTCTAATCTACTAGATATATCCTGAAAGATTCTAGGGTGCAACTGCCCTGAACCTTCCTCCTGCCCCAGTCCAACTCGGGATTGCCCTTAATTTGGGCCTCTGTTTGGGAAAGCTCTGTGTTGCCAAAACTCCCCCCCCTCCAGATGCACATTCCATCACAACTGATCATTTTAATGGTATTTATCTTTCTGTCTATCTAATCTATCAATCTTGCAACCATCTATCACCTGTCTATCATATCTCTCCCCCCCCTCCCAATCTCTCTTTTTCTCTCTATTGTATATGGCCACCCATCTCAGAAGAACGATACAGCAAAAAAAGGTATAAGATACCTGGATTCTTGGATGCTGTTTTATACTGCAAAGAATATTTGAATTATCATGGCCACCCATTTTTAGTAGTTAATGGAAATATGAAGTGTTTCACATCAAACAACACTTTATTCCAGCAGGTTTTGAAGCTTACAGAGGACCGTCTTCAATCCCTAATGGAACCTATAGCCAATTACAACTTCCTGGCAGAGATTACTCTTCAGTGCAGTATTCTCAGAGGGTAATGACTTGACAAGCTTTGTTGAGACCAAGTATGCTTTAGAATGGTTTGGCATCCTCTGTTCTGTGCAAAAGTCAAAATCAAGCATTCACTTGACATAAGGGATGTTTTATAAAACCTGATAGCATGCTGTGGCTAGTAATTTAATATGACTAATAGTAAGTGCGACCTCCTAGAGCAAATAAATTGAGTATAAATAATTAATGGATTATATATCATAGGTCACACCTGTTTTGTATATTTTGTATCCTATTGATGAATTTTAATTTGAATTTGGGGTTTATATCTCTGAAATTTATTCACTTTGCCTATTTGATATCAGTCTTTCTTATGAATAATATATTTGAAAATAACCATCAATTAAGCATGCTGGAAAATTAGAACAAGAATTGGCTGTAGTTTAACATTTACAGGCATATGATCTATCCTAATTAAATTAGTGCTAATCAAGGATATTGGACTGCAGATATTTGCCAGGTAGCAACAAACGTTTGATGCAAGACGTAGCACAGTTCCCTCCTACTCTGCTATCTCACTAATCGTAACAAAAAATTCAAGTGATTGTAAGAACGATGTTGTTGCCCTTTACTAAATTGAGGCAAATGTTTATGTTCTAGGATATGAATTACCAACCAAATTATAAGCGAGGAGGTATTAATAGTGGTCGAACTAATTCAAGAGGTACGTTTACTTTTAACATGATTTAAAATGGAAGTCTCTTTTAAGTCACACTGCAGTGCTCACTCAGGTTGCATTACACTATGATTAACCATTCCAGCACACTATGGACTATGTGTATTGTTGCCTAAACAGTCAAGTACAGACTCCATGTTCTTAGGCACTTTGCCTGATATATGCCTGGAAAGGAATCTGAGGCTGCTTTTGAAGGAATCGCTACCCATTCAGTGCTGTTAACAATATACAGTACTTGCATACCTAAGTGCTAATTTTGAACAGTTAATAACTGCTGGGAATTAAAAACTTTTGCAAAGGTTCTTTTTATTAGAGCAGGGAGGAAAATGTCCATCCCCACCTTTTCCTCAACAGGGATGACTGAGGTTCTTAACTTTCTGCTCTTCTCTTCCTCTGAGCCACTTACTGTCTAGAACATCTACATTTTGGTCTATGCCTGGAACAAATAGAGCAATTTTACTCAGTGTTTGAATGCAAACATTTAAAAAGTATCCACTTGGATTCAGACAACCTGAATAGGCTGTTCCATGCACAGAACATTTTGCCCATAGTATTGGAGACTATAAAAGAATAAATTTTTTTCAGGCAATTGAAGAAAATATTTGATTCCAGATTAGCCATATCAGCTTTATATAAAATATAAAATCCTTAAAGCTTCTGTGTTTTAGGTTACAGGCAAGAAAACAGACAGGAAGAAAACTGCTCAGCAGGTAGCGCTCGAGGTAGAACACGTGGTAAAAAATACTTCAGAAGAAGGGAATTGAGAAAAACTGAGAAAAATGAGAAAGAAGCAGAGTCTGAAAATAATCTTGTAGTTGCCAAAATGCACCAATTCAGTTAGTACTGATTAACAATATAGTTGACAGATTGGTAACTTGGTTTTCTACACTAAATAAAAACATATTTTTAAAGATGCGTCTTTTCTTGGAAGTAAGAGCAATGAATGCATCCTTGCAAAATATATTTCCTATTGTATAATATAATATTAAAGCAGCTATGGGTAAGCAGCCACTATGCATTCATGATAAAATATAAATACATATAAGATTAAAATTCTATTAATGGGTTTTTAGGCATTCTGTTATGTAAGTCAATGGAGTGTAGTAATTTGGACTAAACAATTAGTTTTTTGTTTTTATGGTCAGAAGCTGTGAGAATTTATATTTAATTTGAAGAGCATCATATAGCATGAAGTAGTTCTGGAAATCAAATTAGGTATTTTATAATTCATAATATCCTAGCTATCTCCAACCTGGAATCCTCGAAGTATGTTTTGGATGGTAGCTTTCAGAATTCCCCAAACACTTATAGGGCAACAGTTTGAGGAAAATAATATAGTTTTGATAACTATGCAAAAAAATGTAATGGTAAATTTATATTTCTCACCATGGTATTAAAGATACTGCAGATGTATTTAAGTCTCTGGTGTCTAAAATAGATTTAAATTATTTCAACCCTGAACTCATTGCAGAAGTATGTTCAATGCATATATCACCTCTACTCAGCTTTTAGAGAGTGAAGGATGAAAAACCTGTTTCTAGCTTAAACTTGCTGGATTGGAGCATGGTTAATTGAGTTGTTTTTAATGAAATAATACTAATCTGAGAGCCTGGATCTGCAAGGGATTAAGTAAAGTAACAAATCTGAACAAATACTGGGGCAGAGCAGCATGGTCAAAATTGGAAGTCAGAGAAAATAAAACAACTTGGTAAAGTATGGGATATTCTCAAGTCATGGTTATACTTGTTAATTAACTGTTGAAGCCAAAGGTAAACACAGTATTATGTCTTTTAGCCTTAAAACCCCTACATAAATTATTTGTGAAACCATATGTCCTCTTTTCACAATTTGAAGAACAAATTTCTAAAAACTAGGGACAAACCAGTAACTGGCACTTGTCTAGATCAGCCTTCTCATACATGATGCCATCCATATTATGACTCTGGCTAATTTGGGGAATTGTAGTTCCAACAGAATTGGAAATGCTCAGCTGGGGAAGGCCGATCTACTCTATAAATCTTGGCAAACTGAACTTCGAAAACGTCTAAAAATGGATTTCTTAATAGTTACATCAGAACTAACAATTGCTCATGATCTCTAACAGCAGGATGGAACGATTCTTCTCAGGTGAGCAGTCCAGAACGTGACAATGAGATGTTTAACAGTGGGGACACTGGGCAGGGCGATTCCCGCAGCATCACTCCTGTTGATATGCCTGTGACGAGCCAAGCAGCCACCATTCTACCTGTACACGTCTATCCCCTCCCACAGCAGATGAGAGTTGCCTTTTCTGCTGCTAGAACTTCTAACTTGGCTCCTGGAACTTTAGATCAACCCATCGTGTTTGACCTCTTGTTAAACAATCTTGGCGAAACCTTTGATATACAACTTGGTAGGTTCAATTGTCCTGTTAATGGTACTTATGTATTCATATTCCATATGCTGAAGCTAGCTGTTAATGTACCATTATATGTGAACCTCATGAAAAATGAAGAGGTTCTAGTCTCTGCGTATGCCAATGATGGTGCTCCAGATCACGAGACTGCAAGCAACCATGCAGTCCTCCAGCTCTTTCAAGGAGACCAGATTTGGCTACGTCTTCATAGAGGAGCTATTTACGGAAGTAGTTGGAAATATTCTACCTTTTCAGGATATCTCCTGTATCAAGACTGAACATTAAGCTGCTGCAACGGTTTGGTGAAGGAAGGTGAAAACTGGTGGGCTACTTTCACACTGCATACTGAATACTTAAACACACCATTCTAAAGTGGGATATATGGTGATTTGTTTTGCAAAGAGTTGAAGTTGGATCAGCACTGATGTGGCACTTTATCAGTTGTGATGTAGCCTTGATAGTGAAGCTCTGAATGTTATGTTTGCACTTACTCTTAAACTGTAATTTATCAGCTTACTATGCCACTCAAATTTGCCTCAAGTCTAGGTTATTCGCAACGCCTTGTGCCTAAATAAAAAAAAAATGCCTTAGTATCAATGTTTGTGCTACTGTAATAACTCTGAGTCATATTATCACCCCATTAATTTTCTGGAGGGCTGTGAAGACTTGGCTTGTTCATCCAGGCATGATGCTAGGATAGAAGTGAACAAATACAAGTGTGAATTTAGAGTTAGTGGGATGGTGCTGTAATTGAGCTATGTGGTGGTTCAGTTGACCAGATTTCATTGGTTTTATTGAACGTTATTTTGAGCTCACTATAAGATAGGTGGCCATATAAGTTTATAAATAAATAAAATAAGATTCCACTGGAGAAAGAAAACAGATCCACACACAGTTATGAAGTATGCTCCTTGCATGTGAAAAGTTGCAGATTCAATCCCACAAATCTGGTAGAAGAAACAGTAGATGACGGAGTTCCCTGGAGAATTACTACAACTAAAAATTAGATGGGTCATTCCCCAATCTGTAACACAACATTATACATCATTTTTATTTTTTAAATGTTGAAAGCAAGTGGAATATTGAGACTAAGATTCATTTCCTGTTTATGTAATTATGTAAAATTTGAGTTCTCAACACAGCAGCTGCAGGAACCTTTCTCGATTCCCAGGATTGGGAAACTAGCACCCAACATAGCAAAACATCAGCTGTAAGCATCACCGTTTCTAAAACTGCTTCTGGCCTTGTATTTACCTGGCAATAGTTCAATGCTATACTTTCCTGCCTGGGGAAAAAAAAGGTAAGGTGGCAGAAATTGGGCAAGTCACCATGTACAGTAAATGGGCACTGTGACTGGCCATAGCAACCATGGTGTAAGAACATTAGATGTTTCTCAAGTTCTAAATGTGTCCCTAAGCCCCAAAAGTTGGAAATACTGACTTTATTATAGTCACTGTCCCTACCAGTTTTGATGCGAATGCTGCAGCAGAAAAATAACCTACAGGTAATTATGTAAATGGGGAGATGATAAACCTCTATACAAGCAGGATTGTTACATCTTATTTTATTAATCACTAGTATTGTTGGTCACTTTGCTTCAGATTTTACACCTTTGTTACAAAACCCTTGTGTTGTTGGAAATGAGTGGCTGTCACTCAAGGTTTTTACTAGGAACTGTTGCCCTTGGACATCTGAAGACTAAAGGCTTCAAGATCTGCACTATAGCATCACCGTGGAACAACTCTGGAGATATTCACAATTGAGGACTTTATTTGAAACTACCTGAAGAGCAGATTGGAAGAATACCCGTAAGCAGAGATGGTAAATTCTCCTCTGCGTTCTTCATTCAAGTTTCCTCTACAACTTTGGTTCTGTGTTATTTTACATTCCTGGTATTGGTGTCCAAGAACAACTACTAAACATCTAAAAATTGCCTCTCTCTCTCTCTCTCTTTTTTTAAAGTTCCCAATTAATTTGACTTCAGCATTTTTATAAATTCTAAAAGGCCCTCCTATTTTTCCAAATGACAATTATGTTAGCTAAACTATTTGTGAAGCTTTCATCACAACCTCTAGCCTTTTCTCTCTCTTCATCAAAGGATTCAGTTGGCTTATGTCCTGAAGGCAGCTCCAGATCTTTTTGTGAATGTGCGGTATTGAAAAACTTGCAAACATCTCAGTATGGTGAGGTAATAAAACATTTTAAACTTGCTTTTTGTGTTACCCTTTTTAAAAAACAATGAACAGGTTAACAAATATTAAAGCTATGTTTGTGTGACTGAAAGTAAAAAGGAACACATCTGAAACTTGCCTATTTACTATGCAGATTTTTAAATGGTGGGTTTTTTTGGTACAGTAACTGTTTCTTGCAAACAGTTTTGTTATTAGTAATCCTATTGATAAAATCTTACTGTTGTGGATTGTTTCATTTGTAACAAACAAATCTACAAAAGGTATTCCTGAATTATCCACAAAAGTTATTCCTGAATTGTAGCTGTATGGAAATGTATCTGGCCCCTTTTGGATGTTCTGAATATTTGCTTTCCTTTGCAATTGATTATGATCAGAGCTTCACATGGATCCATCTGAAAGTGAATGAAGAAATATAAAAGTTAAGTACTTGTTTCATTTACTTCCCAAAGTCATCCAATCTGCAGCCTGTGATTGAAAATGTGGTTGGCTTCCTTCAGTAACTTGTTGCATCACATTTAACTGCAATAACTTTTAATAAATACTTCCTATAATTGGAGATCAACCTCACATTGCTATGTAGGAATTTTGGTTAATTCCTCCATGGTGTATTGTTTTAATTCAGTAGCTTTTAGTGGAACATCCACAGTTCAATGGCATTTAGCCCTGAGTTTAGATTTAGCAACTCAAGAACACTGAGTTTGTTTTTCTTTATCCATTCTCTTGCAGATTTGCTTATATGTTTGGGATCGTTCTGTTGCTGCATGACCCACTTCACTTCAACTTTAGATGTCAGAAAGATGGCCTGATACTGTTCTGAGGAATTATTAAAAGTAGAATTCATGCTTTGTTTATTCAGTGATATCAAGTCATCCAGAGGTTGAAGCAGCAAAGTATCTCCAAAATATGGCACTATCCATTTCTATGTTTGATCATCGGTATGAGGTTCTTATTGTGGAATGCAGTATTTGGCTTCCACCAGTCCTAACTGAACTTGTGTAACTTGAAAAGTTCCACCTTTTGATTTATTTGTCCATAGAACATTTCTCAAGGAGTCTGGAGATTCATCTAGCTGTTTGACTAAATTTGAATATCTATGGTTTTCTCGCTACTCTGTTTTGTACAGTGCTTTTCTAATGGTACAGTCAAAATTTGCCCAGATCCTTGGATGACATTCTAGTTTTTTTTGTGACTTCCTAGCTAGTTCTATCCTATACTCTGATGTGATGAGAGCCACTTTTTTTTTTTTGAATGTACAATTATTTCAATTGATCTTAGTTGCAAGGCTGTCTCTGGTGAAGCTTCAGAGGATTAGAATGGTAATGGTATCAGGCAAATGGTATCAACAGTATTTTACAGATGTCTTCGAAAATTTATTTTGAGCTGAGAGATATGTGCCTTAGAATTTTTGTGGTGTGAACATCAGTGATCATTAGCCGTAATTATGCTCTTTATTTGATGGCATGATTTTCTCATCCTGTTACACATTGATTGATTTGTTTATGAAATAAAGGAAACAAGCACCAAACTTTGGTGTTCTTTGTTCATTTAGACCAGGGGTGTCAAACTGCCGGCCCATGGGCCGGACGCGTCATGCAGAAGCCACGCCCACCCCATTGCTGGCAATGGCAAAACAGTCCCGATACATTGCGCAATGTCACGTGACTTCACGAGTTTGACATGTCTGATTTAGACGATATATCAGTAGGATCTGTAGCTCTGATACAAGCTAAACTAAGTGAAACGTGATCTGAGCTAAAAAAAATTGAGAACACCCAAAGGTAAATATTTTTTAACTGAATGATATGTGCATATGGTGGACATAAAGAGGCTTCTTGATATCTCTACAGAATACTGAAAAAAATCAAACTCATGTCAGGGATATGTCACTGACCATGGTTGCTACTTGTATGTGTAGATGCTGAATGCACTGGGACCTGGTATTTTATGCAGAACATATAGTTTTTTTGTGCAGATTTCAGTGCTAGAATTAAATGCTGAAAAATGCTTAAAATTATTTCAATAAGTGTCTCATCGTGTTTATATTCAGTAGTAGGTAATATGAAAGCTGTGTATCTGTTACATAGCATGTAAACAATTCAAGAATCTGTTGTAATTTAGGTCTTAGCCACCTTAGATGAAGGAGAAAATTAGTCCTCTACACAACAAAAGTGCTATTGTGGTTCCCCATCCTGCACCTGAATTTGTTTCCAATTTCCTAAAAGAATTTTGCATTTGTCTTGTGACATTTAGTACTTGGTAAGTTATTAATTTTATGTTTTTGAATATTAGCTACCCTCTCTTGTTTTCCATCAGCTGCAAACTAGCTAAGATATTCCTCCGCCTCTTCAGGGAATGAATGAAAATGTTAAAGTGTGCTGGCCCAGTGTCCCACTTGATCCAGTTCAATGAGTTACAGAGAACTCATAATTCTCAAGCCAACTGTGGCTTCTAACATACACACCAGCCATTCAACCAACGTAGAATAAACATATGGGATTTTTTTTTAAGGAAGTGGATTTCCATTTAGCAAATTTACAAAACCCTCCCATTAAAAAAATGAAATGTCTGATTATTATTAATTGGAATAAACAAAATATGCGCATCCTCTGAACAGACAGAGGGAGAAATTCCCAGGCAGGCTGATCTAGTTACTACTATATAAGAGGGATCCATAAGTAGTTTTTCTCCTTAAGCAGTTTTTGTTCCCTGTCCCCTTTTTCTAATCTGATAGAAATATACAGGTAGTCCTTGACTTACAACAACAATTGAGCACAAAATTTCTGTTAAGTAAGACATTTCTTAAATAAGTTTTGCCCCACTTTATGACCTTTCTTGCCATAGTTAAATGGATCACCACAGTTGATAAGTTGGTAGCCCAGTTAAGTAAATCTGGCTTCCTCATTGATTTTGCTTGACAAAAGGTTGCAAAGGTGATCACGTGACCTTAGAACAGCAACAGTCATAAGTATGAGTTGCCAAGCAGCGGCATTTTGATCACATGATCGTGGGGCTGCTACAAAGGTCGTAAGTGAAAAACGGTCATAGCTTACTTTTTTTTCAGTGCGTTTATAACTTTGAACGGTCATTCAATGAACTGCTGTAAGTCGAGGATTACCTACATAGGAAATGACGAGACGGAGAAAGCCTAAGCCTCCGGTCTCCATGCAGGGAACTACGATCCTCTACCGCAGCGAGCAGTTCGCGCACCGTTTCTTTCCGTACAGCAATATGGCGCCCAATGTACCGCCGCCGCGAGAACGGCGGACGGGGGTGGAGTGGGGTGGCGCGCCGAAGCCGCAAAGCTTCGTCTTCGCGACAGTTTGGCTGTCGTAAACCGGTGAATGGCTCCTGTGTAGCCAAAGGGGGAAGGAGGGAGCCGGCGAGCGTGTGCGGCGGCCGCTGCTCTTCCCGTTGAGGCTCTGGGAGATCATGGATCCCAACAGAATTATCCAGGCGCTCAAGGGCACCATCGACCCCAAGTTGCGCCTCGCGGCCGAGAATGAGCTCAACCAGGTAAGTCCGCGATGGGCTTGGGCCTCGGCCGGGGAAGGGGCGCCCTTCGCGCCCGAGGGTCTCTGACGAGGTCCGCCGCCCCCTTCCCGTCCGGCAGCCTCGTTCCCTTCCGACGAAGCGCCTGTCATTGCTTCTTGCAAAAGCCTCGAAGGAGAAAGCCCGCGTTATTCCCGAACTACAGCCGTACGTTACACTCAGGCTGTTGTGTGAATCCAGCCCGCGAGGTTAGTTTAGGGTTCCGTGTTTCAGGCGCATCCAGAACGTACACATGTTCTTGCCTCTTTGAGGCTAGGCAGCGTTGTGCAAAGTGCACAAAAGGACTAGGAAACACTTAAGTTGAAGAAATAAAGGCACCAGATGAGAAAAAGAGAAAATATGCATAGCTAAATCTGATTCACCCCCACTTTCTCCATGCCTCCTACGTTGCCTTTTGTTCTTTAAACTTTTTATGTTTCCGATTTTCGGGATTTTATCTGCTTCATCTATCACAGCTTTCTTTTTTCCTTCCTTAATATATTTATTTGGAAGTTCAATCAGGGTTCATCTCTTTTCTATAACCGCCTCATATGATATTAGTCATGCATTCCTGTATTCATTTCTCATTTATTCAGTGCTCATCTAGGTATGATTTACTTATTTTGCCAGATACATTTCTTCCTGTTCCCACTGCATTTCCATTATATTCAGGATTTGTTTCTCCTGATTACCCAACTCTCATTGCTGTATAAGAAAATGGATAGAGACAAACTGTTTTGTTTTGTTTTAACATTCCTCACAGCAGATTACATAGTAATCTTTCTGCTACTATTTAAATGTCCTAACATTTCTCAAACCATTCCCAGTTCTGTTAAACATTCTACCAAGGTACACAATTGCATGTATTTACTCTAGCTTATTGCTGTTTATGTTGCAGTCATTCATTTTCTGTTTTCTCAAACCTTTGTCTTTTAACTACTAATACTGTACATAACTCCATATTGCAGCATATAATCTGTGATATGCTGTAAGTCATTCATGTTCTTAGCGAACATCTTGGTATGGTCTGTTTACATCTTGGTATGGTCTGTTTAGAGAATGGCTAGGATGATGATGATGATGATAGATCAAGATGTAAGAGATACAGGTATCTCTTACATCTTCATCTATCATCATCATCATCATCATCCTAACCATTCTCTATCCACGGCAGGATGAAGGCCTTTTCCACATATTTCCCACCAGTAAGGTCTTGAGCTTTCCTTTGCCAGTTGGGCCCACAATACTTGCTGATGTCATCACCCCCTTCTTTTAGGTCTCTTTTGTGAACGCTTTTTATCAAATAGAATCCATTCTATGACTGTCTTAGTCCAGCTGCCATCACTTTTTCTTGCTATGTGAACAGCCCATTTCCATTTCAATTCTTTTACTCTTTTGATGGGATCATATATATTTTCATTTGTCTCTAATCCATGTGCGGGTCTTTCTATCTTGTCTTGTGGTGCCCAGCATGTATTTTTCCATGGCTCTTTGCATCACTCGTATCTTTTGTATTGTGAGGTTTGTGTCCATGTTTCACTGGCATATGTTAGAACCACTATCTTGAGCTATTAAAAACATTAAACATCCTTGTCTTTATCTCTGCTTAGAGCTGAACCATCCACTAATCATTTCATTTATTTTCAGGAATTGCTTTATTTTCATGATACATTGCCGCTATTACATTCAACAATCTTCATGTCCATATTCATGCAAAACATTCCATAATTCGAACCTATTTACCTTATCATCGTTATTTCCCTCACATTTATATATATGACCTGCTAAAAAACAAAAGCTTAACCTGACATAAAGCCAAACTGTATTTCCCAAATTTTTTTCATTGATATTTCTTGGGGACTTTCAATCAGAATTTTGCAAAGTTATTTCCAGGCATACTTAACAAACTAATTATGTGGTAGTTTTGCATTTACTCTTGTTACCTTTGTCTTTGCACTGTATAAGGGAACTGTAACATCATCCTTTCTGTTGTCAGATATAGCTGCCTCACATGCACATCAAATATCACATAGCTACTTCATAACTGAGCACACTCATAGTTTAATATTTCACCTGTTAAATTTCTCCAGCCTTATAATGGTTCAACTTTGTCATAGCGTTTACAACTTCCTTGTTTTTTTCTTGGACACAAATATTTTTAGTTCTAGACTCTGCTCTTTGACACAGGGGTCCCAATCCCTAGGCCACAGACTGTCACTGGTCCGTGGCCTACCAGGAACTGGTCCACGCAAGTGAGCAAAGCCACATCCATGCATGCACTAGATCCAGGCAGCCTATGACACCATATTCCCTGGACTGTGGAAAAACTGCCCTCTACGGAACCAATCCTTGGTGCCCAAAAGATTAGGGACCACTGCTTTGATACATTTGTATAATTTCCAGCCAGTTCTGAAGTATAACAACTATCACCCATTCATAGGTTCCTCATTTTATATGTAGTCACAACAACCTGAGGACAGCAATTCATACAGTTCATAAAACAATATAAAATTTAGGTTTTTATATTAAACCTGCACCTTGTTTCTCCCACTTTTCCTGTCTAAAATTACTCCTTACTGTTCTTGAACTTTTAGATACTGAAGCCTCTCAGTTTTGCACCTTTTGATATTGATAAAGGTTTTTGGTTTTCTTCTTTCTTTCTGGTTGTGCTTTGAAAACAGGGCTGCATTTATCCTCAAATGTATGTGTCCTGAATATTTAATGGTGTAGAAGCATTAAATTAATATAAAGGTGTGATAGATATCTGCATGGACTGAAATGTGTCCTTAGTATGTTACAGCTCCAATTGTTTAGTTTTATCAATTAAATAATACAATGTATTGTTTTAGACCCAAATCCTCTTAAGTTTGGCCTCTTATTAAAATTGTAGTAACATCTTTTCCATATGTAGTTGCAGATAGCTTATTATGTGGCATATAATCCCAGAGAGTATCTATACTTTTACGCTGACCTTGTCTCAGATCAAAATATCAGGCCTTGGTTGATTCTTGAATGACTCCAGGGCTGTAGATTAGACTGGAATTTGTTTTAACCCTAAAAAAAGATAGTGGCCAATCACTTTTCTATTGTTGTCATAAAAATTGCAGGGACACTGGCATGTTCATGAAGTCAGCAGGAGTCAAGGTTGACTCAAAGAAGATTTTAGTTTCTAGTCTGGGTTGCTGTCCAGGAGAACCCAGTGCTGATGCATTGGCACTTTTTTTAGGTTTCCATTATGTATAATTTCATTTTGCAGAATAACTATCATGATGGCAACCTGAAGAATTAATTGAGTTGAACATTTCCAAGAAATGCCAGTCTCATTGTCTTCTGGGGGAAAAAGGCCCTTGGTTAGACAATATGATATTCTAAACACAATTTGTTAAGCACATTGCATCAAAAGACATCCGTCTATTTAGATTACAATAAGATAAGGTGACTGAGATAGTAAAATATCCTCTACAATAAAATTGCTCTTCGGTCCCATAGGAATAAATTAAAACTGAAACTGAAATATAAAACTTATATTTGGTAATATATCGTTAGAAGTTCATTTTCCACTTAAAAATCACATCTTCTTATTGAATTTTAAGCTAAAATAACTTGGTTGACATAGTTAAATCATTTATAGATATAGAAACTTACAGATAGTAAATAATGTATTCCATTAATGCTATAAATTATATATCAAATTAACATATGAATGCTAACATTCAAAATTTGGATGTTATACTATTCCATGTATAAGATCAGTGGTGGGATTCAGCCAGTTCGCACCACTTTGGCAGAACTGGTAGCTAATTTTTTGTTGCCCAGGCCCAGAATGGACTTCTGGAAGCGGCATCCACACAGAGAACTGGTTGTTCACATATTTGAATCCCACTGTATAGGATTGTAGTGCAGGAGTGTTTCCAATTAGAATTAAATTCTTTGTCACATGATAGTATTTCTTGCCCATATATCACTACCACTACCTGATTTATTTGTGCCATCCATTTGTTACATTCTTTCAAAAGTATATAATAATAAAATACAAAATAAAGAAGAAAAAATAGAATAAAAGTGGATGGTCTATTCTGTGAGAGACCTAGTAACATTTGAATTTGCTACTGATTGGAAGGCAGAAGACCCCCTAAAACATAGGAGATTTTAATATTCCACAGTTCTGCATTTTAGTATACTATATTTGTTTTCATTTAGAAAAAGTTAGCTTAGTTTGTACTTGCAAAACTCGCTCATGGACTGGTTTTTGCAATGTTAGAAAATATATTTTACTGAATGGTGGCAATCCAGAATTTCTGTTGGATGTCTTTGAGCCAAGATCATCTTCAGTGGCTTAGGATCTGAATATATAAAGTCAGCATAGATTTTCATGTTAACCCTTACATATACATAATTACATGCTGTCTAAAGTAAATAAGTGAAGACACACAAACTTTAAATCCATAGCAGTTTTAAGTTTATGACTCCCTCTGCCCCTCTCTATGGTTATATGCATTTCAAAAGTGGCCTCTTGTACCATCAAAGCAAAACTTTCAAAGGGGGACTTTGCAAAATGCAGTTGTTTCCATGGCTTCCCAGATTATTTGCACCTGATTGTAGAAAGCACATCTGGTGGACCAGCCAACAAAGTGAAACAGCTGTGATTTCAGCTCTGAGACATCTGTGTCCAATAGAAGATCTGATGAACCATTCCTAGCCCCATCCTTCAAATGAGAAAAAAAAATGGACTGGAAATGGGGGAATCAGTGGGGATTTTAAGAGTGGGAATTATAATAGTTTGCTTCCTAGTAGCCTCTCTCTTTTGCTTCTTCCTTTATTAATGAACCAGCACACCAGCCATGTGCCTCACCCATTAAACCATTTTGCTGCTGAATTTCAGTGGCACTATCTTGGGATGTGTGAGGGCTACATGTAGGGTTGGGTTGTTGACTCCTGTTGTATAAGGTGAAAACAGACAATATCAAGTGAATGTTTTGATATTAGGAGAGTTGTGGTTATTAACAGATTGGATATTAAATTCCTGGCCTGCTTTGGAGACCTTCACAGCAAAAGATAGCAGAATTGCTTCTTAATCTTAAAACCAAACAGTCTTTGTTGAGTCTAACTCAATTATTTTTCAATAGGAGAGTGATGCTTATTTCTCTGTTAATAACTGAAGTACCTGTTTAATACTGCTATCTATACTTTGCTGATTAACCTTTTATATCCTTTTCAGTCCTACAAGATAATAAACTTTGCTCCTAGTCTGCTACAAATCATTGTTTCTGATCAAGTGGAATTTCCAGTCAGGCAAGCAGGTAGGTGAAGTTCTGCAGCTTGCCTCCTATTTATCATCTTTAGAACTGAGTAAACAAATTGAAACTATATATATATTTTAAAAAACTATTTATTTATTTAATTCAATCTATGCCGCCTGAGTTCAAATGACTTCAGGCAGTTTTCAATGTACCAAACAATATAAAAACAATGTAAATAAGAAACCACAAACTAGAAAAGCTGAGGAAAAAAAGAACAAGATGGGGAACCCTGTAGAAACCCCAGAACATTCTACCAACATCTAACATCCAGCAGAGGGGGCTGAAACCACCCTAGTCCAGGGCCTGGGAAAACAACGAGGTCTTTATGGCTCTTTGGAAGGCCAACAGCATGGGAGCCATCTTGATCTCAAGGGATACCTCAGTCCGGTGCAATAAAGAAAGCCCATTTTAGGGAAATAAATTTTCTGCAAATGCCATTCTTGGTTATTGCTACTGGCAGATCTATACTTTATGTATTGGGTTATCTCTTTCTAAACGGCATCTACATTTTGGGGATTTCACTACCAGGATTTTAGTTCTTAGTTTCTTGTATGCCCATTGGTCTTGAATTGTTATTCTCCTTACAGATTGCCCTAACTCTTGTTTAAAACGAGATTTATCAACAGCCCTTTCTATACACTTCTCTCTCCCTCTCCTCCTTTCTGTCTCTTTCTCTCCTCTCTTTTCCCTCATTTTTTTAAATACAGCTGCTATTTACTTGAAGAACATGGTGACACAGTACTGGCCAGACCGGGAGCCCCCTCCCGGAGAGGTGATATTTCCATTCAATATTCATGAAAATGATCGTCAGCAGATTCGGGATAATATTGTAGAAGGAATTATTCGTTCTCCAGACTTAGTGAGGTATGTCAAGGTTCAGGCTGGGACATGCCCCAGAAAGTCCTGAATTTTATACCAAGGAAAGCAGATGCTTCTTCTTAGAATAAATTGAGCAGATTTAAATAACTTGAATAGATGTTTATTCAGCATAGTGTTGCTTTGAGAAATAGTATTTTGAAAGGGTCTCATATTATAAAAGCATATAGTGAGTCAAATCAATCACTTCTGAAATCGTATTCCACAACTTTTTCTAAATAAGATGATTGTAACAATTTCTGTAGAAATCTGCTGGGATAGAAAAAGGATAAAGTATAATTATAGCTCTTAAAATATGCCTCATGCCTTTTATGACATCAGGGCAAAAATGTTTTCCAGATAAAACTAGAAGAGTAGAAATTTAAGTTAGCAAACCCACATTTGAGACCCGAATGCTGCTGTGGGCCAGGGTGAGCTCCCATCCTTTGCTCCAGCTCCTGCGGGGACATGAAAGGAGATCCCAGCTGAGTGTCCCCAGGCAACAGTGATATCACCAGCTAATCCTTTCAACCTGGAGGTGCCTTGGTGCTTCCAACACAAGTGCGATGCAATCAAAGTTGGGGGATATCAAATTGAGTAAATAAATGCAATCCCCATGAGAGGGCAATGATTACTGTACATAGTGTGGCTTATACCCAATATAGAATGTGGAACTGGATTCTTATTTGGTTGTTTTAGTTGGCTACCAGCCCCCAAGGTCTAGTTAAAGATCTTCACTTTTTTCTGGTATAGAATAATGCAAGCCAGAAGCGGTGAATGCTCCAAAACTGGAAGTTTTTAAGAAGAGACTAGACAGCCATTTGTCTGAAATGGTGGGGTTGGACTAGATGACCTCCAAGTCCTTTCCAACATCATCATCATCTTCATTATTATTATTATCATCATCATCACCACCATCATTATTATCATTATTAAGCCTATGCCCCCTCTTATTGGCAGGGAATTAAGAGAAAGTTGTAATCATAGAATTTCAGAATCATATATCCAACACATATCATAAAATCAAGAGTTGGAAATAACTAAGAGGTCATCTAGTCCAACCCCGTGCACCCTGCAGGGTTCATTATACCACCCCTGATAGATAATTATCCAGCCAATATATGAAACCTCCAGTTTCAAGCACAGAGTATCCCGGGTTTGGAAACATTTATCTGTTTCTGGATTGTCTAAATGAGAAAATTGTCTGAAAGCTGGCAACCTTACTGTCATTATTTCCAAGGCCATCTATAGATGTACATTTTGATTTTTGTGTCTGGCGAATATTAATTTGAATATATTATTTGTTATTTAATAAGTGGGAGCAAAGAGAAGAAAGGAGTGATCCTTTCTGGACAATTACATCCCATGTTGAACCGGGGTTTTGTTTTTTTTTTGCCTATCCTTTAAAACAGGTCCCCAACTCCTGGGCTGCGGCTCACTACCGGCCTATGGCCCATTTGGAACTAGGCCGTGAAAGCGGTGAGCGAATGCGGGCACGCACGCAGCTCCACTTGCACAAGCAGCAGGTGAGCGTGCACATGTGCACAGCTCCATTTGCACAAGTGGTGGGTGTGTGTGCCTGCCGCTCATGTAAATGGAGTTGCGCCATGCTTGCCTGCCACCCATGTGAAACAATCCCCTCTCTCCCCCCCCCCCGTTGGTCCACAAAGCCGGAAAGGTTGGGCACCGCTGCTTTAAAAACATTTTGATATTTCTTTTTTTTTCTTTAGAATTATTTGTTGATAGCTGTTATTAGATTTTTAAAATGCATGCGTTGTTTTGGTATATGTAATTCAGGAGTTGATGAAGCAGGTCTTTTATCAGACCCTCTTTCTGTTTTTTCCTTTACTATATCCTTTCCCAATCTTTTTTTCCCCAGAGCCCAGCTGACAATGTGCCTTCGTGCTATTATTAAGCATGACTTCCCAGGTCACTGGACGGCAGTGGTAGACAAGATTGGGTTTTACTTGCAGTCGTCGAATAGCGGAAGCTGGCTTGGAAGTCTCCTGTGCCTGTACCAATTGGTAAAAACCTATGAGTAAGTGGATCTTCCTCAAGGAGAAAGTGTCTATCCTAGCAGCCATAGAAGTCTAGAAATAATCTCCTAGTTCATGAGTGCATCTTCCTGGTTTCTTGCAAAACTGGCTTTCTTATTCTGTAAAATTATACAGGTGGAGACTGGAGGGTGTTGTTCATACAGAGGAAAGCATTTAAGTTAGGAAAAATTCCTCACACAAAGTAAAATAAGGTATGAATGAGAATCTAATTCTTGGAAACAAAAACTTTCCCCTTTCTATCTACATTGGCTTTTCTCCAGGTAAATTTGGGAAAGTTTGATCACCCAAATAATGAAAGATGGGTGATTCAATTGTAAGATTCTGTATCGTACCTGCAATCTCATACCATTTTATTTACTATGAAGCTATGTTCCAAAACGCCACTGATCTGGGGGTGCTAAAATTGGTTAAAATTAACTCTAGTGTGCTGCACTAGGAAAATCAAAATAGCTTCTCCGTTCTGCTTTATTTGGATGTATAGTATTGTCCTGCAGAGATGAGAGAAGGATTACAACGTGTACCAGTTTCATCTTTTGTAAATCGAAATGAAGCAAAATGCAACAAGAGTAAACTTTACTCCTGAATTGTGTTTGGCTCTGATTCCTTCCATAGATATAAGAAAGCTGAGGAACGAGATCCTCTCATTGCTGCAATGCAAATATTCTTGCCTCGAATTCAGCAGCAGATGATCCAGCTTCTTCCTGACAACTCCCATTATTCTGTGCTCCTTCAGAAACAGATCTTAAAAATTTTCTATGCACTTGTTCAGGTATGAACCTGTATACTGAAAGCAGCAACAGGATGAAAAATCCCCAAAAGCAACAACCCCTTTTTAGAGTTGTGACCCCAAAAATGCGTATTTTGAAGTATGCGTTCGTTGATTTCAGGACAGCTACTTTCAAACCTGTGTATTGAATTTTTAGGCGTACAGCATTTGATTAAACAATTTAGTAATGAGACTGTTATCTTATTTACTTACTTATTAGATTTTTTATCATGCCTTAAATCAGTGGTTCTCAACCTTTTTAATGCCGCGACCCCAACCAGTCGTAAGTCGAGGACTAAACCGGTCGTAAGTCGAGGACTAAACCGGTCGTAAGTCGAGGACTAAACCGGTCGTAAGTCGAGGACTACCCAACGGGTCGTAAGTCGAGGACTTTCCCTGCCCGGGAGCGCCGCACATGCGTGGTTCCACCCCCTGCGCCGGCTGAGGCGTAGCTGGCAAGCGGCAGAGACAGAGCAGGCCGACCACCAGCTGGCCCAGCCCAAGGGAGGCAAGGCACCCGCTGGAAAAGGGGAAAAAAATGGCGGACAAAAAAAATGGCAGACAAAAAAAATGGCGGACAGCCTTGCTTGGCGACCCCCGTGAAATGGTCGATCGACCCCAAATGGGGTCCCGACCCACAGGTTGAGAACCACTGCCTTAAATAATTCAGGGCAGTGAACATACCTAGTGCTCCTTCCTCTTCCTCTTTTACTCTACAACAAAACCCTGTGAGGTGGGTTGGTCTGAGAGAGAGTGACTGGCTCAAAGTCACCCAGCTGGCTTTCATGCTAAGGCAGGATTAAAACTCAGTGTCTTGATTTCCAGGCCAGGACTTTCACCATTACACCAAATTGGCTCTCTTACAAATGTCTTATAAACATTTCTTTGCTGTTTACATTGAATTTTGTCCTCATTTGCCTAAGCATTTCTCTGTTTTTTCCATCAGAAGGAAAGGATGCTCTCTTGAGTGATATTTGCTAGCAGAGTCTAAGGGAAAGATTTTCTTGCTATAACCTGCGGAACGTCCTTTGGGTTTTTGGATTAATACTTTTTTTAGTTCTGATTTGTGCACCCAAGAAAATACGTAAGAACTATACAAGTATACATTTAGGGTTTGCTTTGGAACAGAATGGGAAGAATGGGAATATGTGACAGAGATTCTATATTGCTATTTTTAGCGAAGTTGAGGTTTTGTGCAAATCAGAGACAGCAGATAATAATAATAATAATAATAATAATAATAATAATAATAA